TTAAGATGCAAAGTTGACCGAAGTAACTCAAAAATACAGTCTCATCATCAACTGAGCCGTTGCGGCTTCCTTTAGTTGAAAAGGCATTGGTCAACTCCGCCCTGAAACAATACAAGAAGTCACATGGATTAATTAACTGTAAGTGACAAAATTATGATAACCTGATTCGAGCTTCGAGTCTTGCCAACAAATGGCACTAATTCCTTCATAACTCCCTTTGACATTAAATTAATCTCAAGAAACCTGACAGCATACTTGAAAAAGATTAATCACATATAGAACAAGTTTTATTCCACCACAAGAATGTCAATACTTATCATTACGGAGTCAATTGCTTGAAATAGAAATACTTTATGTAATGCAAAAGAACAATACATTCCTTTAATTTAAAAACTAAATTGCTCAAATGTTTTCTTAAGTCAAACGGGTTCCTTTTCTTTTGTACATTTCTTTCCGTAGTACAAGGCTCCTAAATCATTAGCATCAAAAGCGTGCATTAGCCTTGTAAATACCAAATTAAACAAAGGAACTACCAAAATTCTTTTCTTTCAAAAGAAACATCTCCAATACATGCCATACATTAGGCTTGTATAAGTTTCTTTTCTTCTCCCCTTATGACACATAAAAATTACTAATCAAAGTACTGTTTAAATTCTTTAGGAATAGGAAAAACCACAAACAATAATACATGTTTGAAAATTCATGCTTATTAGTTAAGCCACATACTTTGAATGAAATACATACCTCATGCCTTCATATGTTCACTACTTCTTTATAAACATATATAATCACATGACCACCATAATTCTCATATAAGAATAAATAGAATACAAATGAGAAGTGTCACATAATTACTGCAAACCTCATTCATCTGTATACTGTACTTGTTCTTGCCACCGAATGCTTTCTGTCACTCTCAGTCAATCCACAAGTTATGCATCAATTTCATAGTTAACTAGTCACGTACAATTGAATGACTATACTGAGATAGGAAAGCAAAATTATAGACAAAACTAATTTGATTAGTCAAGCAAATTTCTTATGGAGTTAATATCATTATAAACAGTACTTGAATTAAATCTCCAATCATACTTAAGTACTAGCATACTGCATTACTAATCAACACATTTGTGCCTTTACATAAGATCATCTCAAGCTTAAAGCAATATAGGACAACCCAATCCCTTTAATAAAACACGCCATATGTCAATTTTGCTCCATGCTTGCATACTTAAAATTGAATCCATATTAGATATTTCCGACAGCAACCAATGACATGGCTATTTAATTCAGTCTATATATATTTCCTACACATAATCATGTAATGCAAAAAGGAAAACAGAACCTGCAATAATCCGTGAGGCATTCGAAGGGTGGTTAGTGTCCCCTTGTTGCCTGTCCACCCAGGACGCACCTCACACAGGTGTTCTCGCGTGTGGCAGTAAAACCCCCTTAAACTTGCGGCTGGAGCTTTTGATTCCAGCAAGCTCGCTCTTATGTGGCACTAACAAAAATTAGCCGCGAACAAACAAGATAGATTTGACTTTTACATACTTCTTGGCATGTTTGCATATCCCAATTGCCGACACTTATGCAATTATTTCTTGTTAAATTGGAGTATCACCTCAAGCCATTTTGTAGAGAACAAATCAGTGAATGTGTAATAGAAATTTATGGCAACCAAATTATATCATAACGGTACCTTAATTTACTGGAGTAATAATTCAAATAAATTGCAAAACCTTAAATTTATCATTGCTCTTCCTGATCGAAAAGAAGTATATTAACATATACCAGATTAAAAATTGATAATGTCAATTCTTAGTCAAACACATAAATCATGTGCCTATTTTTATACAGTTGCCAAACATAAAATAATTGGATCCATATTCATGACATACTTAACTGAAACATGGTATTCAATGTATGTACATGCTCTACAATACTTAGCACATCACTCATGCAAGTACATATTTATCTTATTACCAATTTAAGCTTTTAGGGATCAACCCAAATATATATCAGCCAAAATATCATAAACCATCATGGAAATCAAAGTCAATGATACAAACCGTTTTGCTATGGTGGATGACTTCGTTCTTGCTAATTGGAGGGGCCTCTTCAGTAAGGTCAGAACAAATATGGCATGCTTACAAAAATTGAGATCATCAGTGGCACATGGTAAATCATTCCAACCAAAACATTAGCATGAAAATTGAAATAGAACGAAACTATTATTCTTCTCAGTGCCTGGTTCGTGGTTTTATACTTGTGATTTCATGTGTTTCTAACGCAAGCTATTTTCAATGCTTAATATGGCTGGTCAAAGGGAATCACTTTAAATTATATTTGAAATAGAAAAATCTCCCATGGTTTCCATTGTAAAATAGTTATGATACCATGATTTATATATAAGAATTGATACCACGATTTGCATTCGTGCCATAAAATTATTAAAATTCTTGACTAAAACCGAATGGTTATATAACCTATTAACAATCATCAATTGTACCGATTGAAACAACATGGTGGTGTTGCCAAGTATATGCAATCATAACATGGATTAAAAACGCAGCTCATAAAAATATTATATAGTCCAACCTAAACCCTAATAGGTTTTAATCATATAACCAATGGCTCTGATACCAACTGTTAGCCTTATTAGGTTATACAATTAAAACACAAACGAATGAGTTACTAACCTGATTCCAACGGTAGCCATGGAAGTCGAACACGAAAGGAAGTGGGCATGGCAACACCAAGATCTTCTATAAGTTCCTAGCCGAATACAACTACTCTATGGGAAGCATTATGCTGTGTGTTCTAGGGCTTATAGGGACCGGTGTTTTATATAGGCTAAAAGCTAGGATTTCCATCCATAAAGGAAACCTAAACTTACTTTATTAGCCTCCAAGTCAAGTATCATAATCATATTCAATTAAGGATTCCATCAATCCTATTTCCAATATAAGACACCTTATATAGGATTGATATCTTTAAGAGATCAAATCACAAATAACATTATTCTCCAATATTACATTCCTATTACATATAGTAGACCATTTAAAGGTTGATTTATATTGGATAAATCCAACATTTGGTATACTAAAAACACGGCCACGTGGCGTTACAATTCTACTGAAATTATAGGACATGTGACTTGTGTTCTCGATGTCCATAAAAATTTCTCCAGAGAAAGAAATAAATTAAGGACTCATTTGAATCTGCTTTTAAAATGATTGGAAGTGCTTTTAGAGAAAATGTTTTTTTTTTGTTCCAAAAGCATTTAAAGTATTTTCTGCAATAAGCACTAGTTATGTGCTTCTTCCAGGAAATATTTAAGTGCTTTTCTAGAATTTACTTGCATTTTTACTAATAATTGGTTCCATAAACATTTTCACCAAAAATGGTTTCAGTCATTTTAAAAGCACATCTAAACGAACTTTAAAGCAGAGGACTAACCAATGAAGATAGAGCTTCCCCAACTCAATGAGTTCAGAGAGAGCGAACCCATTGGCCAATTTCAGGCCAGAGTCCAATCCAAAACTGGGTTCCTGTTAAAAAATGGAAAGAGTAGATTAAACGAACGTTACGAACCTCTGCAGTAAAATGATGGAGTAAAATTCTGATGAAGTCCCGGCGCTTTACAGCAAGAGAAGCAATGGAGTGACCGGAGCTTGAAGTCCCAAGATTGAACAACCAACGACTACCAGAACATGCAAAGCTTTGCGTTTTACATTTTTCTTTGTTAATTTTTTATGGCTTATTATATTAGTATCCCACAAATTGTTGAATAAACCTCACATACTTAATACACCCCACATTTACTATTAAAAATTATTTTAATACACCCTACTTCCTTCCTCATAATACCCTCACACCCCATATTATTAATATACACCTTACATTTTCTACATACATCCCACATTTTTTATATACCCTACATTTCTCAAATCTTATAACACTCATTTTTAAATTTGCCGAATGATTTCAAACTATCTGAACGTTAGTTTGCCAAATGATTTCAAATTGAATTATTTGAAAAAATGTTTAGGTTCATTTGAACGTTTTTTAATAACAATAATACTGATTTCAAAGCTTTTGAAACACCGATTTCGTGTTTCATTCGTCAAAAATAATTTTTCTCAATCAACATGTTTTTAGTTTCATTGCTTAGGGTTTTGTTCAACAATGGAGGGTGGAAGGGATTTTTTATAGTTGAAGTAAATAAATAATATGTTAAAAGTGATTTTGGATGTATTTATAAATTTTTTATTATTTTTTAAACCTAATAAGGTCAAAATTGTTATTACATAATAGAGTAAATAAGTCATTAATATTAAATTTTAATGTAGGATGTATTCAATTGTATGGGGTACTAATATAAAAAGTTTTTTTTATTTATTTTTCGTTTTAGAAAATTCTGTTGCCACGTGGATCATTGAAGACAACAAAAAAGGGTCATCCTAAAGTTGACCAAAGTTAGAAAACCGGCACCGCACCACCAGGGACGAGACGCTGGAGATTTTACCGTAAAAACCAATAATATATCTTCTCTCTAACCACAGTTAAAAGTACGATTCTAAACCGACAAAGCTCATATTTTGCGAAGGTTGAGATAATCGTTTATAGTACATAGTCTTATTCATTCTTCACCAGAGAGTTATTTCCACGATTCGAACCCTTAACCACAACTAAATTTTAATTTTTTCTAAACAAAAACAAAAGACGAGCCTTGACGTAATACAAAGATTACTCCTTTTTGTCCAAAAAGTCACGGGCTCGAAACATGAAAAAACCTCTGTGAACCCTAGCAAATCGAGAAACCTCGTTGACTTGAGATCGTCATTTATCGAACAGTTAAAACACCTCCCGAAAGACTCAAAAATGTGTGAAAATTAATTTTTCTGTCTAATGAGAAATGCCGAAAGTTGAGAACTGTCTCAGATTTGAGGTTCATCTGTGATATACCAAAACTACGATGAAATAAAACGAATACGTGAGGTGGAAAAATTTCCATCGGATTTTTGATTTTCTGCAACCTAAAAATGTGATTGCAGAGAATTTGAATTTGGGGATGGGACATATATACAAATATGAAAGAAAAAGAATGAGGTAAAAGAAATGACAAAATGTGTATGATACAATTTGCTTGCACACCCTAATGAGGAACAATCAGACTTGGTTACAAAATGGTTCCTAGCAGCCACAGATGCAAGAGGAGAGAGTAGGCGATCAGTCCGAGCCTTGCCTTCGGGCGACTCATCAAAACCCGACCGCCAGATACCCTGCGTATAGAGATCAGAAAAGCAAATTAGAATCAAGTTAAATAAGACCCCATTGGAAAGTGGCAGACCGCATTGATCAAAACAACGATTAAATATGCGGAGTAAGATGTTAGGCAGCTACTAAGGTTTTCGTGTAATGTGGTTTCGAAAAAAAGTAGGTGAAAAGAAGAAGGGATTTTGATAGTTTTCCACCCGACCCTCTTCTTTATATAACGAGTTTAAGCTCAAGAGTTTACCAAATTCCATCGATTCGATCTGCAATCAACTTTCCTTGTCTTGGTACGAGACCAGATGCATTGAGAGATTTGAATACATGACCTGCAAAAGGACGAGAAAATGAAAGAAATAAGTTTACCAGGCCTTAAAAAGTGTTTGAAATGACAGACAAATCGTAAGGTGCCAACCTTTGTCCTCATCAGTTTCTTCATTGTTGACCAGACGAGTAGATTCAGAACCAATTTCAATTGCGAGATGTTCAGTTGAACCCTTCCTCATAGTTCGCACATGAGCCGCTGATTGGACAGGAGATATTGCGTTCTTTCCATGTGATCCCTGAAAAAAAAAATTATTTACTAAGTTCAAATCTTACAGGTCTCATCAGTCCATACATACAATCACAACTGATATTGCTCAGCATGCAACTAACAATAGGCACCGTAATGAGCCTAAACCTCAACCATCAACAGAAGCTTATATTATATTTACTGGAAAACACCTCAACTTAACTGGAATATCTTGTAGCATATATCAAAACGTTCAAAAGGAATCAAATGATAACCGCAGAAAGACGGGAATTATCAAGGAGTCATATAAATGAACATTTACCCCATCTTCAATTTCAGATATCTCTGAACCAGTAGTAGGTGCTTCAAAGATACTCCTTTCCTGGACAATCACTGGCTGAGCAGCCCGCCCTTGAAGTGAATTAACCTTGGTCGATAATCCCTCCACAACCCTTTGGCTCTCGCCCAACTTAGTACCAAGTTCCTGGGCTTTTGATTTTGAACTTTCAGACTCCAATTGTAAAGCCCTAACCTGCTTCTCCAATACTGATAGAAGTCCAGTCACACCAGAAGATTTCTGGTCTACAACTAAATCACTACCTCCTGACATATCTATAATTTTTTCCAAACTATATATAAGCACAGACAATTCATTTTTCATCTTCTCTCTATCTTGTCTATCTCTATCATAACTTTCAGCCTCCTCCTTCAATTGTTCAATTTCGAGATTCCTAGTCCCAAGAGTTGACTGCAGCTCTTCATTTTCATAAGACAATAAGTTTATCCGATGCTGAAGGTCAGTAATATTATCAATAACGTAAAAGAGCTTCTTCACATGAGCTGAATTGTGGGGCTCCAAGTCTCCTCCATGTGACTCTGGGATTTCAATCCTGCCAATCTTGTCAAAGAGAGTTTTGACTTCAGATGCTGACAGGAGTGAGTCTTCAGCCTCTGAAACAAGCAATGTGAACAAATAAGTCATCAGAGCACGGACAGTCACTACAACTGTACAACAGCAAAGTAGTAAGAGGATACGAAAGAAAAGAAAAGATATTCACCTTGTTCTTTCATCGACATAGCATTGCACAGTGATAAAACTTCCACCTCTTTTTCATTAAACTTATCTTCTTGGGATTGATAATCCTCTAGTCTAAGTGTCAGCTTACTGCACGAATTCTGTAATGCTTCTACATCAGCATCCAACTTGGAAATCCTATTTTGTCCTAGATCCCTTTCTTCAATGGCTTTCTTAGAAATCGTCCTAGCTTCTGTCAGTTTACACTGCAGATCTTCAATTGTAGAGGCTGCCACTTTACTTGTTCTCTCAAACTGTTTAATCAAAGCTTTAACTTTTCTAATAGAAACGTACAACATTTCTGCGGTTTTTCCATATTTGCTGTCCTGTAGACCTTGCTCATCTGCTTCTGTGGTCTCTCCACTGATTACTGTTTCCCGGGGCAAATTATGTTTCAATTTTTCAAGCTCAGGAACAGAGCTCAGTTCAAGTAAATTGTTCTCGACTCCAAATTGAAGTTCTCCGATAGCAGCGGTACAAGCAGAAAGTAGAGACTTAAGATCATTTTCTAATATGGCTATTGTATTCCCCTGTTCCTGTTTACATATTTCCAGATTAGTTGCTTGTTGTTTGACAGACTCCATGTTCTCGAACCTAGCTATTACTTCATCCCTTACTGCCTGTAGATTTCTCAACAGATTTGCAATAAACCCATCTACAGAAGAAGATAAACATTCAAAAATTTCTGCAAGAACATCTTCTCGCATCTGGAACCTTTCCACAGTCCGCTTCAAACATGAAGACATATCAGCATCTGCAACACTGGCCTCACCAGTAACCTTTTCCACACTGGATATAGTGTCAATGCCATCTGAGAAAGACTTTGTCACATATGAATCTTCCTGGATTAAGTAATAAAAGGAGCTCATTAGAACAAAATTCTAGCTCTTCTTGAATACATCATACATACAGAAAAGGAGCAATTTTCACAAATATTTGGGGTCATTGGGAACACATCACAATGACATTCTAATCATAAAGGAATTTGATATTATCAGAGCCGTAAAATCTAATATCATGTTTTATTGGCATGTAAAAGTATTCAGAACTATTAGCAAACATATTCTTCACAGGCAGAAGTATGAAATTGAAAACAAGAGAGAGAATATAAAAAGAAGTAGGAAAGCTCTAAATGCAAGATGGCTTCTGGTCCACCAGCATCTGCATGGCATGCACAAAAGAAAAAAAATAAAGTGAACAGCAAGGTAGAAAACTTTGTTCATCGAACAGCATATATACCTCCAACACTTGATGTCTTTTCAGCTCTTCTGAATTCATGAAAACACAATGGTCCTTTATATTTCTAAGAATGAGGTCCATATCTTTCAGGCTCTCAAATTTCTTCTCGAAACATCTTTTCATAGTGGCCAACAGAGTATCATCCTTCATTAGCAGGTGAAGATTATGAAGGTGGCTACTTAGCTCTATGGACCTGCTTTCTGTGCTGCCATTAGTTCCAGACAACTCTTCGTCTTGTGTATTTAACTTGGAATTAAGTGTCAATATTTCGTCTTCAGCATTTTTCTTTTCACCTTGAAGGACAGAAATATCATTCTCAGCCTTCAGCAATGCATCTTCCAGTGATTTTATGGTTGCCTTGGCATCTGCTAGCTTGTTAACGTGGATCCTAGCTTCCTCTTGCAGTTTCTTTAGTTCCACCTCTAAATTGGTCCTACCAATGTGAACTTCATTGTTTTGTTCGGTAAGCAAAGAAACATTGGTCTGTACCAGTGATAGGGAATCTTTGAGTAACTTTATGGCCTTATTGGCCTCTGTTAGTTTGCTAGTCTGAGTATCAACTTCCTCTTTCACTTTCTCTAGCTCTGTCTCTGCAGAAGCTCTACCAACTAAAGCTCCTTCTTTTTCACTAACAAGCACAGATATACTATTTTCTGCAATTGATAACGCCTCTTCCAGTGACTTTTTGGATGCACAAACTTCATCGTACTTGCTAGCTTGAGACATAGCTTCCTCAATTGCTTTCTCTAACTCTTTTTCAACATTGGTCTTACCCAATTCCATTTCCCTCTTTTGTTCAGCAAGTAGAGAAATATCACTCTCTGCAACCGACAATTCATTTTCCAGAGACTTTAAAGTTGAGTGAGCTTCTGCTAACTTACCAGCCAGATTATTGACTTCCTCTTTTACTTTACTCAACTCATGCTCTGCATTTTCCTTGGCATCCTGACATTCACTTATGTATCCTGCAATGAAATTCACCTTCCCCACAGGCTCTTCAAAAATTGAATCGACAGGAAGAGCAATGCCATCAATACATTCAATTACTCTCTGTAACATGTTATTACTCTCCACTAAGAACTGTTCAAGTTGATCCCGTTGTTCCTTCATAGCAATTAGATCAGCATCTAACTTTGGGATGCGGTCTACATCAGCAGACAAACTACTTATCTTGTCCCTGCATTCAGCAAGTGCCAACTGTTCCTGCTGTAACTCAAGCTGTAACTTCTCAATTTCTGATTTCTTTTCATCCAAAAGATGTTTCAAGTTTTCCCGGTCTTGAACCAGTCCCTTACCTTTCTTGACTGCCATGGATAACTTCTCCCTTAGCACAGTATTTTTCTCCTCTGATCGTTCAAAATCTCTCTGCAGGGTCCCTTTTTCCTCTTCCAATGCTGCAAGTTTTTGAGATACAGCCCGCAACTCATTTGACAGGTTATTCACCTCTGACCTCACCAGTGTCTCCTGTTCCAGTAAAGTCTCACACAGCATCAATTTCTGATCCCTTACATACAGGTGGCTTTGAATGGTTTCAAACAACTCAGCATCAACCTTTGGAGAATCAAATGAGGCATTACTCTCTTCTTTTATCTTCCCAATGCATCTGTCAACAAGCAAGGCAGGGTCTGACGAAGGTTGATAGACCTCTTCATTGTCCACTACAACTCCTGAGACATCGAGTAACATTCTGACCATATCAGCCTTCTCTGAAGACACCTGTTGCTCTTTCTTGACAATCTCTTGGTATTCAGATGTCAGATTATCCAGCTCTGCTTGGAGATATTCCTTTGCCTGCAATTCAGCTGAAAGTGAAGCAGTTAAGTCTTCAATATTTTTACGCGCCACTTCCTTGGTTGCAGTAATTTCATCACACAACACAAGTACTTCCTCTTTTGCCATATCAGCCTTCTCTAAAGACACCTGTTGCTCTTTCTTGACAATCTCTTGGTATTCGGATGTCCGATTGTCCAGCTCTGCTTGGAGATATTCCTTTGCCTGCAACTCAGCTGAAAGTGAATCAGTTAAGTGGTCGATATTTTTACGTGCCACTTCCTTAGTTGCAGTAATTTCATCGCGCAACATAAGCACTTCCTCTTTGGCCTGAGAAAACGATTCCCTAAGCCAATTTACTTGAGACTCTAAGTCAGAAGATGAAATAACTTCTGGTAGATCAATTGCATGCATAGCATCTCTCAAGTTTTTGAATTCAAGGGAAATTCCCTTGAGTTTATCATTTTCATCCGAAAGCCATCGAAGTTTCTCTAGAATATCCATAGATTGAAGTTCTTCAGGTACACCGGTCTGAGACATAATCTCCTCCAAACTTTCAATGATTACATTCTTCTGGGATACTATTTCTTGCAAGGATGCAATCGAATTTTCGCTCCTAATCAATTCCTCCTTGGTTAACTCAGCAGCTTCAATTGCGCTTGACTTCTCTTGCAATTCAATCAAACACTTCTCAAGCTCACTCGTTTTTTCAGCAATGGACTGCTTCAATGAGTCCCGTTGCTGCACCAATGCCTTCCCTTTTGTCACGGCCATAGCAAGCTTCTCTCTGGTATTAGAGCACCTATGCTTCTCCTGCTCCAGTTCCATTTTTGTTTGTCCTAGATCAGCATTCACCGCCTCAACTATCCCTTTTTGATTTTCAAGTTCTTCTATCACTTTCCTATTTTCATCTTCTAGATGGCTCAATCTTTTGACAAACTCTGATTCCTTTCTTTTGAGCTCAAGTAACTCATCACAGGCAGCAGTAAAAACCCCTCCTAGTTCCTGTGAATTAAGATCTGACCTGGCTTCCGGCAAGCACTGTCTAAGTTGTTCAATTTCAGAAAGCATCCTGGTGAACTTCTCAATTAGCATAGAAGTGCCTTGCTCAACATGTACTAATTTTCCACCGACAGAACCATCCAACATTTCTTGTTGATCAACGACTCCCCCAAGGGAAGCCAGCATCCTGTTTGTCACAACTTCAATGTATGTATCCTTCTCAATCTGAGCCTCAGATGACATTTCCACAGACCTCTGAGCAGAATTCAAAAAAATTGCAACAACATCATTCAATACCGAAAACTCATTGACCTTGGCATTGAGTTCCTCAATCTCTTGATCCTTCTTAAACACAACTCCATCAAGTTCTCTCACCGCGGCCTCAGTCTGCAACCGTTTCTCCAAAGCCGTTTTAACAAGTCCAGAGCATTCAGTTATCAACTCACGCCACCAGGTATCCGTACCTTTATCATCTTCCCTACTTTCTTTGTCATGATAAAAATTACCGCTTTCGCCAATCGATGGCTGTTGATCAGTAAGAGCATTCAGCTGAAACCGAAGACTGGCAATTTCTCTAGCAAAAGCCTCTCTTTCTTCCTACATTTTAAACAACAACAATCAACAATCAACACCGAAAACACGAAAATGCCTCATAAAAGAAATACCGACCTCGAATTGGCGTGCCAAACTTTCCTTCTCGCCAACAGTAGTATCCAGCAAAAGCCGCAGGCGGTCCAACTCATCCATTGCGTAATCCTCCGAGCAATCCACAAACTCCTCTTTCCCCGAGTCCTCCGTCACTTTGCCTTTATCTTCCGCCACCTGGTTATCACCGTCTGCCACCGATTCCGCCACCGGCCACGCTGACCCTAATTCCTGCAATTAAAACCGATAAACAAAGCTTTACTACCCGATCAAAATGAACCGGCACCGTTCAGCAAATTGCAATTCCGGAATTCTCCGATTACCTGATTCACCGGCTCGGCGACGTCGTCTCGAATTGCATTCGAATCCTTGGCCAACCCATTCGCAATTGGACTGCCTCGAATCTGTTGATCTCCCTCCGCCTCAGCTTTCGAGTCCTCCAGAACCTGCTTCAAGCCAGGTTTCTCAGACATCGGAATGGCACGCATAAACCAATCCCTCCTCCTCCGCCACAAGGCCCGGATCCGAAACCCAACCCAACCGGATTATTTAATCCCTGTATCCCTAGAAATCAATCCAAGAGCTCTGAAATTGTCGCCAATTGACACCAAAACCATAGAAATTTGTCCTGTGGATTCCGGTAGAGTTGAGAAGGTTGGATTTTGATGAATAAAGACCACCGCGGGCGGTGTCTCTCCGATCCTGCAGACTGCGGAGCTGACTGTAATTTTCCCACGTTACCCTATTCTGGCGTCTCCCTCCAATTTTTATTCTCTTTTAATTTAATTTATTTTGTTTCCGTCGTAGTGCAGTCAATGGCTACCGATACCGTTACTCTACACGTTTGGTAAATTACCAAACTTTTACCAAAACTACGGAAACTACTACTAGGCTTTCGACTTCAATTTTGTTTTGTTTTTACCAATTTACCACGGTCGGTAACCTATGTCAGTAACATTCAACATAGTAGCAGATCATGATTTACTGCAGTGGCAGAAAGCAATAGTGCTTAGGCATTCTGATATAGGTTCGATTCCCACCCATCTTCTTATCTCTAACATTTAACAATTTAACTTACTAATGCAAGCGTTTGTCAAAAAAAGAAAAGTTCAACACACACTACATGTATATGTCGTTTCGATGTTAACAAAAACAACTTACGAATAATGAGTTACATTATTTCTCTTCGTCAAACTATCAAGTTAACTATTACTGTTTTACGCATGCGAGTTTATTTTGGCTTGCTTGAATGTTACATAATATCTATTCACCCATTTCTTATTCCTCAAAATTCAAAGTTTTTCTTCAGGGAAAGTGTTGTTTGTTATCCATATGACATCCTTCAATTCGCGTGTCATTCATTTTGGATCTATTTACTATTTAGACAAAAAAAAATAAAAAGACGGAGTGCCACGTCCAAAACAAATATAAGTTAACTTGACGGTTAGATCGAGTGAAGAGAACTACAATATTCGTAATTGGATTCGTGTTTTAGGATCATATTTGTCAATTTTTAAAAGGGATAGAGAATAAATGCAAAAATATACAGAGCACATAGCCTCATTCATTTGCAAATATAGGCAAAGAACATGATCTGCGTCTTTTATTGTGCGATTGTTGGTTTTACTACTCATTTTTCTTCCACTCCCTTGTTTGCTACCCACCTATCGGACCAACTCCCCGGCCGATCCATGAACTTAGAGCAAGTCCATCCCATGCCGATTGATTGGGCAATTAGGCAATCCAATCCCTCAAAATCCAAAAGAGTCTCTCCACCTTGGCCCAATCAGTCAGGTCATAGGCCGGCCCAAGACCACAGGAGTCGGGCAGGAATAGCCCGCCTCAACGCCTAAGGCCATGTAACGTCAAGGCAGCGAAGATGGGTTTGAGAGGGCTCCAAGAGAGGCGGATTTTGGGGGATTCAGTTGCGCAAGCAATTGGCATGGGGTGGACTTACTAACCCCCTTGAGGGCTTGGAGCTGTGCTTGATACGTTCTTAGGCTCAGCATGAGACGATAATGAATCTCTCATCCTTTGACTTATTCGCCGACCAATCTCTTCTTAATTACAATTTCTAGAAGCTGAATCGACTAAAATCATAATTTCTTCGTAATAGTTTCACTGACTTTGAAAATTGGAAGTTGATCGACGATGGACATAAATGTCTACAAAACATGTTTCTTTGACCACCATATTCATTTCTTTTAATTGAAATGGACACCTTAAAATATTGTCATCCGCAGACAGGGTAGGTCACCTGCCAAAACGGTCTGCATTTGCAACGCCAGCTGAGAGAAGGTGTAATAATATAATGCTAACAAATAAGCCAGGGGATTACATCAACAACCTAATGATGCTTCATGTTTTAAAATGTGTCAAGTATTTCGGCAAGCAAACGAAAAAGAATAGCGATTTTCACACTCCGTTTTTAGCCGTCCGCACTCTAATTTGAATACTTAGAGCACTCGCAGGACGAGTGTAGGGAGGCTAGAGAACTAGAGTTGTCGACCGGATTCAACTCATAACATAAATATATTCTCAAGATGCAGACTTTGGCATCAGTAATGCAGCAGTCTTACACTGACTTCTAAATTTTCGATATGCATAACATTTGAAACTTGTTATTTTTTGTAAAAATTCAATAGAAGTTCCTTACCGGATTCTATTTACATTTGACAGGACGGCTTTTTTTGTATCTGTACACCATTCTCCGCTTCTTAGAACAAATTAGAATACTCGTAATACACCAAGAAGAGGGCGTCTGGGTAATCTTCGGCAGGCTGTTGATATAGAGGTAGAAACGCAACAAGTCCTCTTTAGAAACTGTTTCGGTGTCAACCACATCATCGTTGCAAGTGAGCACCCATAAGTCTTGAGAATTAACTCTCTTTATATTACCACGACAAAATGGGCAAGACTCCGACTTTCTATTCCTGTAATTAAACCAAAGCATTGCAAGTGCAATGAACAAATGACTGTTTAGAGAAACAAGCAGCAATGGGCGAATCAAAAGGGGCATACGGATAAGGGATATAGTTCAAGGTTTGTACTTACCAATTGCGGTAGCATTTGATGCACATTGCGTGACAGCAATTAGGCAAGACCACTTTGGTGCAAGGCTCTAAACAAATCCCACACTCCTCTTCCCTCTCCACCTCAGCATTGACAAGGCTACCATCTCCCTTAATCATCTTCTTGCCAGAGCTTTCCATGCTAGGAAGCCTAGGATGTCCTTCCTTAGCATCATCCAACTCCCCCAAATCCCCGTGAAGCCGCTGAAGAGACGGTAAGATGACAGCTGCAATTCAGTTTTTGACAAAGCAAACTTGGTTACCAACCTAATTGTGCGAATCACAACCAAACGACATCCAATGATCATAAAGTAGGCCAATTGACATACAATAGAAGTCCCTTATAGAAGCTTTCCTTCCATGAGTTGAAAGACTAGGCCTACCGTCTGTGTATACCTGTATCAAATAAAGACCAACACGCCCAAATTAGGTAGAGCGACAAAAGTTAATTCCTTTTCCGCAACGATTAACAACCAATAGAGCAGAGTGGAAGAAAAGAACCAAACCTTGTAGACACGTATGTGGAAGAAATTTAGGTATCTAGGGAGCAGGCAAGTGCATGAGCAATCAATCCATTGCAACAAAAACATAAATAGGGGAGCCAACTGATTGTAAACCAATTTCATCTGAAACCGGGCACCGCCTTTGCCTCTCGGAATTGCAGCAGCTCTGCACACAATCCAGTCAAATTCAGAACGGGTAACATGTCAAAAGTTTCAAACTTTACAATTCTATCTGATAACTCAGCCATGATCAAGTCAAAACCCAAAAATAAATAAACAACTGTGCACCCCAGAAAAATCCCAAATCAAAATCAGAATTAATAATATGTCAAAAGTTGCAAACTTTACATTTCAATCTGATAAGCAACCATGATAAAGTCAAAACCAAAAAAATAAAAATAAAAATAAAAATAAACAACTTTGCTCCCCAGAAAAATCCCAAATTGGAAAAAACTGACGAAGGGTTTTGCTTTTTCTTGCCTAAATTGATACAAACAATCATGGGTTTTGGTTTTTCTTGCCTAAACAGAAAAATTATGATGCGGGTAGTGATGATCAGATGGCCTAAATATAGATATTTGCAATTAAACATAAAAGTAAAACTACCCACTTGGGAAAAAAAAGGATATCCACACCCACTGCAGAAAAAAAAAAAGAGAAATTGAAACAAAAACAAAGAATTTCCAGAGAAACAAAGCAACTTACAGAGAATTTGCATGCTGTATATCTGCCTCTAAAGCACTCAAGGACTCCTGGTAAGAAGGCTGGTAATATATCATCTCCATCTCTCTCTCCTCTCTCTCCTCTCTCTCTCTCTAGCAAAGAAAAAAAAGAACAAAGAGCAAAAACTCCTCTCTCTCTCTCTCTCTCTTCCTCAGAGACTATCAAGTAGAAAGATAACCCACAAAGTTCACTTTTTTTTGTTGGGTTTTCTCTATTTTCTGCAGAGATTAATACCCAGCAAGCACCAAAGACAGAGAAACAAACAAAAAGCAGATAGAGTGAGAGAGGGACACAGAGGTCCTATTTTCTCTTTATCCTTTTCTCAATGGGGGGCGGCTCTGCTAAGAACGACTGTTTTCGGCCTTGTTTATACGGTCAGAAATGGAATACGTATTCAGGAAAAAATGCGTCTTTTGCACCTCATTTAATGTGTTCTTTCTTATCATAATCTTTTGCTTTATATATTATTATATTTGCTTCTCCTTTTAATATTGCCAAGGTGCCTTTTCTAACCTTCTCTCTAATTTTTTTTTAATAAAATAAATTGTATGAAGACCATATTTTTTAAGAAAAACTAATGAAAATGATTTAAAAATTAAGTTTTAATGATAATGACGAAATAAATGGTGAAGTGAATAGTACCATGATTGACTTTTTAGTGTAAAAATGTGATTTTTTATTAAAATGAACAGATCCGGAGAGGATCCCTTTCCTTTTTTCTTGGACAAACAATAGAATATTACAAAATACGTCACAAGGAGCAACATTTTAGTATCCAACTCAATATAATTACATTTTTTGCAAAAAAAATAGTATAAATATACGAGTTTTTTTTAAAGTATTTTTCAAAAGACTAAAGGCGTTTTTGGTTAAAATAGTTTTGGAATAAATCCGTAATAATACAAGTGAATTTTGAAAAAACAATTGAAGTGTTTTCTGCAAAAAAAAACTCATGACTGATGCTTAAAGTACTTCAAGTGCTTTTAGAATCCAACATTTTTATTAAAAGTGTTTTTAATCATTTTAAAAACATTTTCAAACGAACCATATATATGTATGACTCAATATGATATCCATTCCAATTAAATAGACAATGGGTACTGAGTGATGCTGGACTAACAAATCATATCCACTTTGAGCCTTATTTTTAAGTTTAACCAGATTGACGAGAATAATGTAGTTTCCTCTCTTTATTTAGTTCGAACTCTTTTCGAAATTTTAGAAAAATTTTGGTATAGAAATATTTGTATGCAAATTTATGTGTGTGTTATTATGGTGGGTTTTTATTTGCGTGTGTGGGAGTGGTTCATCTCATCTGCAATCATCTGATGCCACTAGATCAAAGGGTCCACATTTGGAGGCTTATCCATGTGCTGAAACATATCTGGTGGAGAAACCCATTTGGAAAAGCAATATAAAACTTTGCATTATTAAAGTATTATTGTGAATATATACAAATAAATCCCTTAAAACTTGGTCAATTAATCTCTAGAATTAGGGTCCACTATCCATCATTAGAAAACTAAAAAGAAAGGGGGTCGAATCATATTTTATTCTTGTGGGTTTTTTTATACTTAAATTATTATTGTTGTTTTGTCGTTTTATATTATAGTGCAATTGTTATTTGTAAAGGAAATGTCTTATATTCGATATAATGAGTTTAGTACAATATACTGATATTCTTAGTCATTTGTAAAATATATGTGAATATCTTAAATTTGAATACGGCAAATTTGGTCCTAAACTGTATGACATAGTCATTGTGTACTTTAGTTTAAGTCTTCACACGAAACATAATATAATAAAATAATTGCATTGGTTTTCCCCTTATTGTAATATATTCATTTTAAAGCAAATTATTATGGCATATGGGTTTAATGATCCATGACTCTTTCTTTCTCATTTTTTGGTAAGTGAAACCCTTTTGTCTAACAGAAACAAAAAGAAAGAAAAGAAGGGAAAAAGAAAGAAAAGAAGTTATGGAAAATCCAAGTGGAACATCTCTTTAGAAGGAAATATTTTTTAATGTGCCGAGAACACGACTCGATACACTGTCAAAAGAAAATTAATTAAATACTTAAAAAAATCACGTGTATTATAATCCTTAATACATCGAGTCGTGTTTTCCAAACAAAAAATTTCTTCTTTAAAATGACACTTGGGGCCCAAGGGCAAGTGGTGACAACACTGAGTGTGAATGTGTGAAGCACGTAGCTAGCCAACATAATTTGGGTATGATCTGGCGAAATAACCCACGCCGTTTCTGACGGATATATGGAATTATATGCATCGTACGTTTTCCATATTTGCTTTTTCTAAGTGCATGTCGTTGTCCACACGAGTTACGTTTTAGCATCTTTTGCACGCACCATGGACGGCTATAGACCCTCCATACCCTGTAACACCCACTTCACTTGCATCAACAATTTGTATAACATAAATTGTTCAAGAGAAATATCAGTTCAGTAGCACGCTAGGGGTCGTCGCGCATGTGGAGCAAACAAGTAAAAATTTATCATGTCAGCGCAAATGAAGAAGGATATTAACCATGATGCACAAGATTTGGGGAGATAGTTTGTGGCCAAGGAAGGTGCTCACTTTCGCTACTTAAGTTTTTGTCTAAGTTTTTTGTCTAAGTTGTCGATGTGCGTAGGACTCCCTTGTATCAAAGGTTAACAGTTGTCTATGAGGTTTGATTACCAGTGGTAGCATTGTTCTTCCTGCACTTAGGAGAAAGCATTCTCCCGACACTACTCTTTTACTAATTGTTGAAATTATAAATGTACGGCTGCATAAGAGCATTTTATAAAGAGACTTCCCTATTGTTTTGTTTTAAAACAACTTTTAAATAAATTAACATGTTTTAATATTCTCTTAAATATGCGTAGTTTGGCACCAAAAGATAACATACGAACTATCTAGTAAAACAATCGATAGACAAGTAAATTGATGGTAGCAATACCGTTCTACACATAATAATAGTTCTTAATAAAACAATTTTCTTAGCTGATAGTTCTTAATAAAACAATTTTCTTAGCTGAGGTTGACAGGTTAATATACTTTTCATTGTGTGCAATTTGACACCAGAGGGACGTCCACCCACTTCATAAACATCACCGACATGTACGGCAACATAACATATCAAACAGTCTTCGACATGCACGTTAACATAACATGTCGAATAGTATATATATACACGTAGCGTAAGAGCAAAAAAAGTAAAATTTTCAAAAGAGAGTGAGAAGTAATCTTAGTGTTAAAAGTGGTGAAATGTCAAAACGAAGAGGATTCACATCATCAGCTCATCTGGCAGATGGGACTAGGCAATCCTTGGACAAGTCAGGGCTCTCGATTTCAAGAAAGCTTGTTAGCAAAGTTTTCCTGGAGGATTGTGCTTTTGAAGTGCTACTGCTGGGTGATATTTTCCGGTTGGATTCACTGCCCTTTTCAATCTTCATAGCATCTTGAACGGCCACAATTATTTCCTGCATTCTTGGCCTCGAAACTCCACGTTGCTCAACACACTGGATTGCAACTTCGGCAATTCTCCAAATCGATTCAATTTTCACACTTCCTACTAGGACAGGATCCATGATGCTTTCCACATCCCCTTTATGAATCAAGGATCTTGCCTGGAAAAACAACAATTTTTTAGTGATCATATGTTGCGTATAATGTAAAAATTCTACTACGTTCCAGTGTATGATATGCATTGAATGAATGACGCGTTGGATCTAGAGCTAAAAATCCAACTATCAAGAATCAACCGGCTATAGATGTCGATGTATAGTGTACACCGGAGTATATAAGAAAATCTTGTGAGTAACAACTAATTCTAGAGTGCAAGAAGATTAGCATTGAATTTTCATTCGGGAAAAATTAGCGAAACCCCTGAATTTATAAATCTGCTTCCAATTTGTCCCCTCGACTTTCGGTTTGGTTATGAGCTCCCTAATTTCCAAACGCACCATTTTGCCCCCAAGTGTCAAACTCATCATATTTTCCATTATTTCCCCCCAGTTGAATTGACGAAAATAGCCCTCAAATGGCCGGAAATTTTGACAGTTTGAGAGTATTGGCACCTTTTTATAGATTATGGAAGCTCAACACCAAATTGAAAGTCAAGGAGAGCAAACCGGAAGAAGGTACTAAGTTCAGGAGGTACTGCTAAAACTTTCCCTATACATTTGCCAGACAAGTTCTTGAAGTGAATTAGAAAGCATACCCAGTGAACAATGTTCAACTCAGAACCAAAGTCTTCTTCTGAAACAACCTTTTTTCCTGAAATCAATTCCAAAAGAACAACCCCAAAACTGTACACATCGCTTTTCTCAGTTAATTGCTGACTAGCATAATACCTGCATTGGAGGATTAACATGGCTGATTAAGTGCATACAGGAGAGAAATGAGAACATGATTAATTTTTCGTATACGACTCATGGGGCTTACTCGGGGTCAAGGTAGCCTACTGTTCCACGTGCCACGCTAGATATGTGCGTTAAATCCTCTTCCGCTTGCCTAGACAATCCAAAATCTGATACTTTTGCTCTCATGTTTATGTCTAAGAGAATGTTGCTTGTTTTCACGTCCCGGTGGATGATACTAGGGTTGCATCCAGTGTGCAAGTACTCGAGACCTATACATGCGTAAATTCGTGTCAATAGCATGAACTTGAGAAATGAAGTATGCATAAATTAGTATAAGAAGTTCCATCTTATACCTCTAGCTGCATCTTCTGCAATGCGAAGGCGCATTTGCCAGTCCAAGCGCTTCTGAGTAGAACCTGTTGTCAACAAATTATGTCATGGATTTCCATCAAACTGTTTCGGTTAAAACTATGAACAGAAATTTAAAGAACAAGTTTTTTATGAGAGAGCAGACCGTGTATGTGATCGCGTAAGGTGCCATTGTGCATATACTCGTAAACCAGAATGCATTGATGTTCTTCCTCACAGTATCCAATTAGAGGAACCAAGTTTCGATGATGAATTCGTGACAAGAGTGCTACCTCAGTTACAAATTGCTTATTCATGTGGGTAGATGAATCCGCCATCATTTTAACCGCTATCTCCTTTCCATCTTTCATCTTTCCATAATATACGGATCCAAAGCTTCCTTTGCCAATTTTTTTTGAGAAGTTATTAGTCGCTTCTTCCAGATCAGGAAGTGTAATGTAGCAAGCTACGCCTTCATCCTTCCGAGAAATTGAATAGTGAGTTGAAGGCTTGGTGCTGGCACGCAGAGAGTCACCTGATGCACAAGAAAAGATGTTACATTGCAGAAACTGCGACCGCAGCAAACATATTCTTGCCGTACAAACCTTTTCCATTACTTCTCTGAAGAGATGACTTTCTTCGAAGATTACGCAATATCAATAGAGTCCCCAATAATAAAAGTGATACAATTGCAAGTACTCCGACAGAAATTCCAATTATCAACTTGACATGCTTCTGTTTTCGTTCCCCCTTACGTAGTCCGAGATTATATTCATATCTGCACGATGAAATAGCATGTCTGTCGATAAGTTTCTAGGCTACAGATACATTGTCATGTCTGTAGTATTTCATACATCAGTGAAAAGCAAACTTACTTAAATTTGATTTTCCCAGTTAACAGTCCTGCAGGAATCTCCCCGCTGAAAGAGTTGTTCTGTATGTACCTGCCACATAAGGATTTCACATTTTCAGCATTTCCCCACTATGAAAAATGTCTAATACTAATCTGAATAATACATGGAAGTATCGAACTCACAATTCGTTTGCTACTTACAGTTCTTGTAAGCTTGGCAAGCTAGCCAGGTAAGAAGGTAGTGCACCAGTGAATTTGTTATTCTCCAGATGACTTCAAAATCGACAACAGACAAAAGAAATGCATCAGTGAAGGAAATATGTGTTCTCTGAATTCAAATAGGTAAATTCGGAGCAAGATTCGAAGAGCTTACAGAATCTTTAGATAGATAAGATTACTAATGTCAGGAAATTGTCCAGTTAGGTAGTTACCATCCAACCACCTAAGTACAAAGAAAAGATCGATTATAAGCGAACTCAATAGAACGATGAAAAAAATAATAAGGTATGCATCTGTTTAGAGAATCACAGAACTTACAATTCTGTCAAATCCTGCATGTTTTTAAGCTCCACGGGGATTTCACCCTTCACATTCTTTCCTGACAGGTCACTGTAGCACAAGTTAGAGGATTTCATAATTAAGCATAAAATGCTGAATATCTTGAAGATGTGTGATCAATTTTTGAGTGTCCAGTTTAAGTAATGGCGAAATGTTTCACGACCTACGTTGATTTAATTACAATAGTCCGTTGGTACAATACCTTCTACTGTTTGTCAAAAAAGGAGTTTTAATAGACATCCATCGACGAACCTATAAGCAAGCAACTGTGCTGAAGATCTGATATTTGAATGCTTGATGTATATGAAGCAATTCTGTCAATGAATTGAGCTTTTGTATATCAGCACTGCACCATAAAAAGGTGCATTTGTTGGACATCGGAAGCTAACTTATACGATGAATTTGACTTCGACCCATTAGCTTAAAATGTACAAATTAATTAATTTCCTTTCGATTTGTATGCCTTTCCAATGATTTAGCATGTTTCAAGTTGCTTGCTATGACATTCAGTAAAAAAATTTGGCAGACTAAATATCCTGGTATTGAATGGCAATGTAACAGAAATCAACATGAAGCAGAGATGTCACGAAGAAGGCATGAAGAACTTACATTTTTGTGATTCTCAAAGGTGCTGTGGAGCTACAATTCACCCATTCCCACGGAGTTGGAACACAAGGATCGCCTTCATCTACCGACAGACTTTCAGCAGACATGAAGCGAAGCACATTGAGAACCGCCACTACAAGTTCAAAACGGAACATAGCAATCAGCTCATCAATGATAAACCACACCCAATCTGATGCAAACTTTATAAAATAAAACACCAAGATCTTGGACTTACAATCTTGCCTATCGGTCTTCGCAGCAATTTGAACATATTTACTTATCTCCATTGCATTTAGAAGTGGCCCTCGCGTAGAATCAGGGGTCTCACGAAAGGAAAATGACAGAACAAACTCCAGACTCACATTCATGTAGCTCGGCTCATAAAGAGTATAGTCTCCATTTGCGTTCTCAGCAATATTTACAACTGCTCTGTTATAATCAGCCAAATTAGGTTGCTCTAACCTGAACTTTCGACTCTCATTTGCTCCTAAATCCTCAATTTCCGCGAAGTAAGCATAAGCTCGAGCCATTCCTGGGAAGCCATCAAGATTCAATCTGTAGCTCAACACTTCCTTCGTACCAACAACCGCGGTCTGCATTACTTTCACCGGCGGGTATTCTTTACTCCTTGTGTCTACATCCCTTGATGTACTGATTCTTTCTGTACCTGGTGCCACTCCAACTAGATAGTTCTGCCTTTTCACAAGATCAGAATCCCAAATTCTGTCATATGGATCATCTGGGTACCTGCGAAAAACAATAAATTCTCACTCTTAAATCATCAAATCACTAGATACATTAGCATCCGGACCAGCCTAATTCTGGTGTGCAATTCTACTCGTCTAAGCCTCTATCACCTAATGCCGTCACAAAAAATAAGAAGTTAGCATCGAAATCTAGTTTTTTACCTTATGGCATCTTTGCTTGAAGCACCAAAATTTACCCTAGCTGCAACTTTCAGGAAAAACTTATCCTCAAAATCCGTGGCGTACATCGAAAGATTGAAAGGTCTCAGCTCCAAAGTCGATATAAACGGAAACCCTGTTGTTGCACAACATATACACACATCAACCGACTTGGACGAAGCCCTAATGATCATTTCATTCACATAAGTTCTTGAAGCATCAAAAATAGTCACGGTTGCCCACTGCGTGGCATCCAAGTAAAGCTCGAATTTCGGATATGTGTCTTCACTTTTGAGACTGCCGTACTGAAACGTTGCCCGGACTAAATACCTCCTCCTCTCCACAGTGTTCAGTGTGTAGCAGTACTTCTTGCTGTCTATGGGAAAATCCCTGCGTTTCTGAAACTGCAGCTGGTTTCCATTAGGGTTTTCGACCTGGACTGATTTGCCCCGGGACATTAGTCCCCCGTCTGAAATCCATGCCAGTCCAGTGCTTGGGTCAGTGTAGTTACTTGTCCCTCCACAGTCAATGCTCACAAAGTCTGCATACTCAATTCAAACATATCGTCAGAACCGAAAACCGGCAATTCCTAACAACACGCATGCGTTTGTAATCACAAAAATCTCTTAAAAAATCTGTAATCAAATACCGAAAAACTACACACCTTGAACTTGGGAAACAACAGATGACAGAAAGCAAATATAAATTATAAACATGAATTTGAACGGAAAAACCATTTTATTATTTCATGAGAAAGACAAAATAAATCTTTTTTCTACGTTTTCTTGGCGTTCAGAATTTGAGTTCGTTCGTTGATGAAATCGAAACTGATTGAAATTAGTTTAACATGTTTGTCTAAGCAGGGGTCCACTTCACTTTTTTTATTGACGAGATTTGCAATGTTCATTCACGTTCCTTTTCTTTTTTCAGATCTTTGGAATCTTCTCTTTTTCTCCAGGAATTAGAAAATTGATTTCCCGTTTCATTTTTTGGTTTAACTTTCTTTTTACTTGTAAAAAAAAGTGACACTAGCAGCCAAGCTCGACCTACCTAGAAAAAAACATCATTCTTAAGTCATTATTTTGCTTTTCAAAAATGATTTGGCAGATGAACTGTGTGAACTGTCTTGAATTACAAGTTTTACCGTGTTGCTGATAGATGTTTTTGAATGATTTCTTGATATTCATGCGTTGATTGATTCGTTCCTCTAATAAAACTTATGTTTGCACACAAAGTACCGTTGATTTTTCTTGTAATTAACTGTTTTTAATCAAATTATGATGTTGCTGGTTTATTTTGTTCGGTTGCTGCAGATATTATAATGAGGTCAGGACTGACAGATGGAACTTTGATATGTTGCTACCAAAATCTTTATTGCATTTGTTCTATTTACGTAAGTTCGGTTCATGCATGTGTTTCTGCAGAATTGACTGTGAGCAGTAAGTACCACCAACCGACCAGTTACAATCCATTGTTTTATCGTCACCGACGAAAGTATACAATAATTAAAAGATGGTGTTATCTATACATCTATTTTATTTCTCACACTTCTTTCAATTTTTGATCATTGGATCGAATAAATAGAAGAAGATCAAACGAACAAAAATTAACAAGGATGTGTGGGTGATAAAAAAAGATGTCTAAATAGCACAACCCTAATCAAACTATTTGGTGTTCAAAAGTTTAGGGTGTAGGGAGGTTACCTATCTCAGAGCCATGCAAGATCTATCCTTTCATTAATGTGGGATTCATTTCTAACATGTTCCCTCACGTGTAGCGAATTTTCAAGCTAACACATAGTCAACACAACTCGAGTAACGTGGATCGCTTGTGGCCATTGAACTTCACACGTGGGACAACCTGCTCTGATACCATAAAGAAAATTGAGGTTTCACCATAAAACCAATTAGTAATATGAGAAGTAGTCAAACCACCTATAAGCACATGCAAGTGTCTCTCCTCTCATCTATGTGGAGTTCATTCTCAACATTTGTTGTTCAAAAGTTTGGGGTTACCCATCTCAGAGTCATGGCATGCTATAAACTTCTTTGATGACTTACAAAGGGTTCTCAGCCTTTTTTTTAGTTTTTATAGATCACCTACAAAAATAGATAATCAAACTATTTGTACATCACTCAGTATTACAGTCTAGTGGTATTCTTCTTTATTTGTAAGTGAAATCTTAAGTTCGAGTCTCGTAGATGACGAATTCGATATCAAATTAGTTGTCCATTGTGTGACTTAACCAAACTCTAGCCAAACTTCCCCTCCCTTTAATGTAAAATAAAGATTAGCAAATTCGATACTTAATTAGTTGTTCATTGTGTGGCTTAACTGAACTCTCATTCATTTTAATGTAAATATAAATCTTTACTACTACGTAGCTTTTAATGTTACGATAATTGTGTCGTTGAGATTTTACTCTTTACATTTAACGGTGCGGATACAAATTTTGGGAGAAAATGAAGACGCCTGCTAACTGTTTCGTACCCAAGACAAACCCTAGGAGGGATAAAATTCATCTGTATAAGAAAATAGGTGATAATATTAGGAGCGGACAAAAAACCACTTGAATTCCATTATTTGATTCGAATTTCAACTAAGAAAGTATAATCTTAAACTGTCTTCCAAAAAAAAAATAAACAGTATAATCTTAAACCAATTGAACCAAACCACAATCAATTAATTTGGTTTCATTTGACCTTTTAATAAACCGTCCAATATTTAATTTACGACAACTTTTTTTTTTAACAAACAATATTAAAAAAAGAGGATGTACTTAACCTCACAATGGACTAGCAATAATGTGGTTCAAATTCACCTGTAGTAAGAATCGAACCTAAGATCTCTTACTTACAAATAAAAAGAAATACTACTATACCGTAGTACTAAGTGGCAATTTACGAAAACTTTCACACATGTAAGAAAATTTAGTTGCGTTGTGCCAGTTTAATTCTTGAACTACACCAAACCAAATTGTGATGCTAACGTTGATTCAGTTGTGATTTGAGGCATAAACTTAATCGAACTCAACTCAACTCAACCATGCTCACTCTAAATACATGTACATATTTACATAACGTATTACAACTAAATATGCAATGAAGTTTATCGACGATATTTTAACAATCATATCAACCGCATATTGATAACTATTAAGTCAACGCATCAAGGCAACATTATCAAAACTTCGTGTCACATAAAAATATCGCGGTTAATTGTAAGGTAGAAAAATATGTTAACTACCCATAAATATGATATATTTAGTATGAATCTCACCCTACGTGAGAGATGTAATTAACAATTTGTCGAAGCTTATATAATCATAATAACAGGCTCTTTAAGGAAATGGATCTCCATTTTTTTTTAAAAAAAGGGACATCCTTTAGACCGTTAGATCTAGCTTTAATGAAATTATGTGGTTGAGATTAAATTACAGGCCACAGAATCTCAACAATATAATTTCATTAAAGTTAGATCTAACGGTCAAGAGAGTGTCTTTTTTTTTTTTTTTAAATGAGGATCCATTCCCTTAAAGGCTTCCATCATAATAGTAAACAATTAAAAACGTAACCGGAAACCTGGACGATTATGAATGGACAACGATTGTCTGTCCTCCCACTTCTCGTGCCCTTCTGTTTGTGTGGTCACGGTTAAGCCACATCAACATTTTATATTACTATTCATTTTTATCCTATTATCTTTATAAAAAAATAATATAAAATGTTAACGTATCTTAACCGTTATCACACAAAACAGGAAAGCATGAAAGGATATAAGAAGTAAGAGGACAGACAATTCTTTTCCATTATGAAAAGCATCTTTAGTGAAAGAAAAGGAAGCAAGATTAAATATCCTCTTTTGCTTTTAAAATTGGCTTTTGCTTTTGCTTTTGCTTACAGCGAAATATCTTTTCCTTTCTGATATGCCCTTTGGACCAACTTGTTTCCAGCTTTTCTCAACTTCGAAAAAGTATGAAGATGATGCCTTCATGCCTTCCTTTTCTGTATTGGATGCATACAATCCATCCTCTATTCCTTTGGTCCACCATCTCTATAATCATCAATAACTAGCCTTTAGCGCGTGCATGAGATATTTTTTAAATTACGACATGTTATTGCGATTTATATATTTTAAATGTATTTATATACGTAAATTTGATAAAAAAAAAAGTCAAATATTTTAAGTAAATGAAAAATTTTAGATCATACTAAAAGAAACCTCTTATAAACCAATTAAACCAATTGAATTCATATAATAAAATTGGTCTCTATAAATTTTATAATAAGAAAAGAGAAAAAAATATTTAATGAATAATTGATTGAATTACATTATTAGTAGCCCACCCCCCCTTCCCGTTAATGTAGATACTAATATTTTGTTAAAAAAAATAATCATTTGACAACTAATTTAATCACATTATTATCAGCATGTGAAAGTGTCACAGCCCGTTCCGGAATTTTCATATTCGTGGATATGAAATGACGGAATTGCCCTTAACGGTTGCTAAGGTACGTGTGACACATAAGTTGATTATTGTATACTTTCCTAAGTTTTTTTTGGAAAAAAAAATCAAGTTGGATTAAGAGTTGTTTACAATTTGTGTGGTTAGGGAATTAAAGTATGGTTGTTTTGGGTGGACCACACACACACGGGACATACCCTCACCACGTGCCCTCTCTCTCCTCCCTCGCAATTCACTCTCTCTTCCTCCCTTCGAATTGTACGGACAAGGCACCAAACCCTCAAATCTTCACGGATCGACGCCAAAAAGGTGAGTTTCTTCATCCTTACAACCTCTTGAGTTGAGGTACCATTTTTAGAACTGGAAACCTTCGAAATCACGTCAAACCTGTAACCCATTTTGAAATCATTGTTCATGCACACGTGAAATGTGGATTTTCAGGGAATTCTAAGCTTACAGGGAACTTAGTGAGGTCCCAAGGAAGCTCGGAGCTTAGTTTGAAGGTTTTGGACGTCGGGATCGTAGGGTTCGATGTTGTATTGATGATGTGAATTGTGTTGAGAGCTCATAACCTGCACCCTGGTATTAGTGCTTATATTATTCACCCCGCACCACACGCTCACCTTGGATTCAAGTAGGTGCATGTCGTACAGACCATTAGAGGGTTCCGACATGTCGTACAGACCATTAGAGGTGGTTCCGACTTGTAGGTGATTTTAGATTATTATACAGCTATTGATGAGAGAAGCACTAGAGCGTATTCCTACACCTTTCTTATCGTACAGACTACTTCAGGTAGTTCCGATTTATGTGCAGAGTAGCGCCGTACAGGTCACTGTGGTGACTCCGGTTGGTTGGATATTGAGCTATAGAATTAACCATACAAGATAGTTGCAGGATTTCCGGTTGATTCATTATTTCACTTGTTATATTGACGCATTCTTATTCTGTTGTTGACGTTTATAGCATAGCATACTTTCTGGTTTTTGATAAAGATTGGTGATTTGAGATATTTGAAGAATTATATGCATATTATGTTATTTTATGGGAAAGTATACAGGTTTTACAGCGAGGGGTTAGAAATGTTATAAAATGAAATGTTTTCGAAAAGCTTGTTTTACTGACCCACTCAATCTTGTCTTGCACCCCTCCAGGTTCTAGTTAGCTGTGTTGGTGGCTCACGAGGATTTTCCCACGGCGTTCTGACAGACTACTTAAATGTAGGACTCACCTTCGAGTGTTGTAATTTGGTAATGGTCCTACTTGACTGCACTTAGTACTTATGCTCTGAATATGTGTGTTTCACACTTAAACTCACTCTAGCATGTTAGTTGTATATTATTGCTAGTAGTTGGTTTTTATTCCTTCATATTTCTCTTATCTTATTACTTCAGCGTCGCACTTTTAGTTACGTCATACTCACGTGACGGCCAGCACGCCTTGATTCTAGGATCAGGGTGTGTTAGAAAGATTTTTTTATAACTGGCATTACACGCCCTTTAAGATGTTTTGAACATGTTTAAAAATAGAAAAATTGAATCACATTATTGATAGCCTATTGTGAGGTACTATTTAAAAAAAAAAAACATCACAAAAAAATTAAATGTTAAAAAAATATTATTAAAATGATGAAACTGCCCTGGTCTTATTTGATGCATTATTTTGGAATGCCTTTGAAGTTTTTTGTCTTGAGGGCATTTTTATCCAAATATTTTTGTTTAAGCTTGGTGACACCAAAAACAATATTCACCATTTGTGTTCTCTTTATATCAATCTAATAATAACCCAAACAATCTTATAGGAAAGCAATAAATATAATATTTATTTATCTGCGCTACAAGTTTACAGTTTCATATTTTTTTCAACTTATTTAACTGACGAGTTTGATACATAAAACTAACTGATTATGTGAGTTGAGCTAAGTCTCAGACAACTTAGAGTATAATATCATCATATAACAGAATAAAAATAAAATTTGAATCTAATATATGAAAAAAAAAAAAAAAAAAACTTGAAAGTGCTTCTTAAAGAACAATATGGGTAAATTTTTGAAAAGTTTTTAAGCTTTTATGTGTCAAATGTATCTAGACGGTTTAGTTAAAAAATAACACGTTTAGCACAAAATATAAGCAAATATGAGTAGTGTTTAAAATGCTCAAGAAATATTCTAAAAATTAAAGATCGATATGAAAAGGGGGTGAACTGCAAAAATCATCATATATCGATGAGATATAAAAAAATCAATGAATATCGATGATATTTACAGATTCACTATAGAAATTTGCCATAACCTATTGCAGATTTTGATCTTTTGATTATTTTTTTCTTTCTAATTTCGACTAAATTTGAATGAGTTGATATACCCACCCTATTGCAAATTCCATAATTTCTGTTGAAGACAACTGATATCGATATATCCATTGATATTTTTATAAATTTGTATATTGATGGTTCTACCTATATCGATATTTTAAATATAAATGACCAAATATTTCCTAGGAGAAATTGAACCCAGATCCTCTCTGGATCTAAAAAAACTGAGCCTAAGGATCAAATAATTCGGACCGTTGAAATTTGATCCAATGGCTACAAATAGAGGTTCCCTCTAAAAGTTATAATAATTATTGTCGTTAGATCAAATTTTAACTGTCCGGATCATTTGATCCTTAAGCTTAGTTTTTTTTAGATCTGGAGAGGATCTGGGTTCGGAGAAATTAATTCATTCTCATTTGAGTAGATAGATGTAAAATCACCATTTACTGTGTACAAAGTTGTTGCGGACTTGCAGGGCCCATCACACGAGATGATCTGCTTTGTATCTCTATTGGGCCCAGATGTCTATATCAAGACACAACACAGCTAAAACTTCAAAGTAAATGATGGGCTGAAGTCCATTCTAAGGGTCCACTATGTCTGACACCTACACTTGGTCACTATTAATTACTTATGGCCCCACACGCTATACACGCATCAACCAGTTGAGTCGTGGCGTTTTTTAAGGTGCGGACCGAACTTTGCGGCCCTTTAGTTCGGTAAGAAATCCTCTTCAGATATATTCTATCAAAGTCTACTAGTTAATTAATCTGGGTTCTTGAAATTTGATTTAACGGTTAAAATTATTATAAATTTTAAAAGGATCTCCTGTTTGTAACCGTTGGATCAAATTTCAAGGGTCCAAAATAATTGATTGGTGGACTTTGGTCGAAGAGATCCGAAGATAATCTATTTCCCTTAAGTTCGGACCAATTAACACCCATTAAATCGTTGACTTGCGAACGGACGATTGTGTATCTACGTTTACATCAACGACTCAAAGTCACTTATATTCGCATTGGTAGGTCATGCTAGCATAATTCAATTCATTATGGTAAGATAGTAACGCTAAGGATGTACGTAGCTGTCCACTATTGATGTCATATATGCAATAATCTCTACTTAAGCAATTACTAATAATTTATCTGTTACATATTTTTTTTGAAAAAATTTCAGTGGTATGAGAAAAATTTAATTGATAACGAAAAAAGTTACATCTAATCAGGAGAATTTACCTACTACATAATATTCTCTTTTAATTTGTTCATTTCACAAATTAGTAAAAAAAAAAGAGAGAGATTGTATAAGAAGAAGGCATCATGTCCTAAAAGTTAAAACTAATAGGACTCGAATTTTAACTTTTAATTTTTTTCTTAAGAAATTCTTATTCTCAATACATTATGCGTTTATTAACACATAAAGAATAAAAAGTGAGTCATATGTGAAAGATATGTACTTCATTTTCGATTTCAACCTATAATACCCGTATTACCCTCGTATCATTCGCATACTTAAAAATGTTAGTAAACATAGGTGTGATCGATCAAATTGTCATGTAATTTGAGTGAAAATATAATTAATTTTTATGAGCGGAATATATACTATTAATAAAACTAAGGTATATTATAAAATACCATTACATGGATTACCAACATAGATTTAAGGAGGAGCTTGGTAGTTGATACCTTGATTAATAATATCAGCTAGTACCAAAAGTGGGTGGTTTTATTCTTTGACAACATTGATTAAGGAGGTGTTTAATCCAAAGTATCAATTATCAAAAGTCAGAGTTGGTCTTGGAGTTGGATGGAAAGGGTAATTGGGAATCCAAACCTCCCTCGCTAAGTCGATAAAATAATATGAAGAGAAAACATGAAAATAAGAATGAAATTTTTTTCAATGCATCTGAAACACGGAATAATAGTCATAAACTCTTTTTTTTTCAAATGTATCTATCTATATATGATAATAACATAACGTATGAGCTCAGTGTTCTTATCACACTAATCAATCTCTCAACGAGAAGGCATCCCTTTCTTTCCTTGTAGTGTGAAAGGTTTGATCACTAAGCAAAGCCTTTGCCTCTCTCTCTCTCTCTCTCTCTCTTCCCTGTTTTTCTTATTAACCCCACCATCAAATGTCCCCAACCTGCAACAGATTCACCAACAAAAACTAAAAAACAAACTAACTCCTACGGAAAAACAAAAGTCACTCTTTTCATCTTATCCCCACCCTCTTTCCTCCCTCTATTCCCTTCTCTTTCTGTTCTTCCATCCCAAAATTCAAGTGAGAAGAGAAAGAACATATGTGGCAAGCTCATGCCTGCAAGTCTTCTTATGGAGAATCCATCAAAGCTCTTGAAGCTGATATCCAACATGCCAATACCTTGTGAGTCTCTTTTTTCTCTAATTTTTTTTTTTTTGTTGGTGATCAATCAAAACTGTGGAATAATCCATATGCATTTTTTCCTCTTCTGGGTAGTTTGTTGGGTAGTTAATCCAACTGAATTGTGGTTGTTGGGTAGTGCTTATCATTTGAGAGAGAAGGTAAAGTTGGATTTTTTTTTCCCTAAACATTTAAGTTCGATACTGTTTCCTTAAGGCTTTTTATGTGAGAAATTTTCCAGCTTTATATACATTACTGCTTTTATGTTGCCAATTTAATTGCTTCTCTGGAAAAAAAAGAAAAATCCCACAGGCTGTTCTTATTTTTCTACCCAAATGAAGCTCAAATATTTTTTGATTTTTTTTTTCCATTTGTTTTTGGGATGGATTTTGTTGCAGGGCAGCTGCTCTTCCCAGAGATTATGGTGGGAACTGTATCCAAATGAGATTGTCTTACAGCCCCTTTGCACCTTTCTTCCTGTATCTCATTGAATGGATGGATTGTAGTTGCACTGATGTACTTCCCAATTATTTAGGCCTTCTCCACATCCTTGTACACAAGGTGGGCTGCTCTTCCGTTTCATGCTTTATTCGTTTTACTTCCCAGTTGCCTGCTGCAGAAAGACAATCTTTTGTTTCCTAAAGACCGAAATTAAGCTTTACGATATTGTACAGGTATATGTCGATGGGATGCCTTCATTGTCCTCCAAAGAACAGAAGGTCACTTTAAGGGAATTTTACGGTATGTTATTCTCTTGTTAGCTTCTTATTGAAAACATACCGGTTCTTGGAAGAATTGTTTTTGACATAGCGGTGAATTCTGCTGGAAATCAATGCAGCTGTAATATACCCTTATCTTAGGCAACTTGAAGGCGAATTTAACGAACTGGAAGATAATAATAATAAGAGAAGTCGATGCACAGATGTTTTGGGCAGAAAGAGGATGGAAGACCAAAGGAAGCTTTCGGATAAAGATCTTGAGAGAGAAGATGAATGTGGGATATGCATGGAAAACTGTACAAAGATGGTGTTGCCTGACTGTGGGCATTCCATGTGCCTCACCTGCTTCCATGATTGGTATGATCAATTTCCATCTTCACTTGTTTGCTTATTAGCGAACTGAAAATCATTTTGCTTACCGGTGAGGTAACCTGTGGAAAATATTTATTCTGTAATGTGCCTGATTTGCAGGAATGCAAGATCGAAATCCTGCCCTTTTTGCCGCGGCAGCCTAAAGAGTGTTAGCTCCAGAGATTTGTGGGTTCTCACTAGCATCGGTGATGTTATTGATGCAGTAACCCTTGCGCAGGAGAACCTAAGACGTTTCTATCTTTATATTGAAAATCTACCTGTAATTGTGCCGGCAACGCATATTGTGGTATACGATTACATGCTCTGACTCACAACATGAAGAATGAAGTTGCAAAGTACACAAATTACTCATTACCCCAATGTATATATAGCCTAATATAGGGAAGTTCAATGTAAACTACCATGCCGGGTTGACGAGCTGTCTCATGGTAGCTGTATATAGTCAACTAAAGTACCGAATGCCTGTTTTCAGACGATAAGCTGGTAGCTTTGGAGATTCTTGAGTTGCATATGAGACTATGGGAGCATCCTGCCCATCTCCAATGACTAAGGCACCTGCAAGTCTCTGGCGGAAGCCCTGGATATATGTATATATATAACAGGTAAGCCTGGCATTCAACTCAGCTTTTTGGAACCTGAGTGTTGGAATGGAAGTAATCATGGTTTTCTGCTCAATTACTTGATGATCTCTTATAAATTAATGAAGTTTACAGTATTTATATACCACTTGATAACAGAATGTAAGTGCTTATGCTACTGCAATAGAATTATTTCGTTAAGAATGTCATGTCACGATGGAACTTCGTTTTAATGAAACTCATTATATATATATATACGAGTTTTAAATCTTCGGTGCATTGGAGATGCTCTCAGTAGAGTCATAGTAAGATTAACCTCGAGGGAGTTGGTTTAATGGCCAGGATTTTGTTTAAAAAAGCAACAATCCTGAGCTTGATTGTGCTCCAATCCAGCTCTACAAGTCGCCATCAGTAGATTTTCCCCGCTGAGCATCGGTCAATGTAGGACGAGAGATTGGCTGTGCCGTGAAGATAGCAGAATGCTCGAAGAGGGGGTGATTGGGGATACCTTTGTGCCTACCTTGTGATGATGAAAACACACATATCATCCCCTCAACAGGAAGCAAACTACTATGCCTTTATGCTAAAATCCTGCTGTTTAACATCACTGGATGGCTTTAAGGGACCTGGTTGAGTAACTTCTGTTACAGCTAAACCAAGGTTGTTTTTTATGTAGTTATTGGCATGCAATATTTTTAGGGTGGTGTTGTCCACACCCTCATTTTTTACTTCTCATGCACCTCACAATTTTCGGCCGTCGGATCAAATGAATTGAAGAAAATCAATGGACAAAAATTAACAAATAAATGTATACGGGAGATAAAAAGAGATGTGTGAATAGCACTATGCTATTTCCATCTGTGTTATGTCTCACATAATTAAAAAGGGAAAAATATCAGTAATAAAATTGCGCTAAGCCACAATATGTTACTAATGTAAATACACAAGCAAAGTTTGTATTAGTGAATTGGTAATAATACGTGACGGTGAGACAATCATACTATAAATCACTCTTAAATTCCCAAGCAGTAGGCCTGGCATTTTGGACCCAACCCGTTAACCCGACCCGACCCAATCCGTTAATATTTGTATTTGGGTGGATGCTTAACGGGTCGGGGTCTCTAACGGATGAACCCGTTAACAACCCGTTAAATAACGGGTCACTTTGGGTCAACCCGTTAGACCTGTTAGGACCCGTTAGCACCCGTTAGTTGAGGATATTTTAGTAATTTTAGTAAAGTCTTAATAACAAAAAATAAACTTTATGCAAAAAATAATAATAATAATAATTGTTAGTGAATGACCCGTTAGCTTAACGGGTCAGGTTCGGGTGACCCGTTAGCTTAACAAGTTGGGTTCGGATTATCCGTTAACTTAACGGGTCGGGTTCACCCCGACCCGTTTACAGGTCTACCAAGCAATGTAGTAAAGGAATTTTTGCCCGGCTGCCAAATTGTCTCATCATCATTCAGATTGGGCCTCCGAATCAATACAACGATACTTCTCAACCCATCAACCCAACTAAAATTGCTTGGGTCCAAAAACAACTGCTAAGATAATAAGATTTATAAACAATGCTAACAAAGGCATAAAGTTAACTAGTTAAGTGGTGGCAAACATACGAGAAAAACTTGGATAAGGTAAGCCGAAAGATAGATAGTCAAACACTTTTACAAGGGAGTGAGCCCTTCTCTATACAAAAAAACATACCGTAATATTCTTGTGAGAATGGCCTTGACTAGACCTTACTGAAGTTTTTCTCCGGACGTATTCTTAGAATGGTTGTTCATGGTATTCAACATCACTGCAACAGTTAAAAGGGGGAGTGAAAACAAAAACAATATAAGTAAAAACAAAAGAAAGAATACAGAGGTAAAGAAGAGGGGAAGCATCGTAGGAGAGCATAAGGGGAGAGTCATATTCTTTTAACTTTTAAATTAACAAATAAAAAGGCAGTCCACTGATGAGAAGTTGCATGGAGTTCATCTCCCTAGTTCCTTAGACACCAATCATGCTCACCCTCTCTTTTAGTAAATTATTGTAGAATTTCTAAGTGGGCATTTCCTTTTAGAGCCATTGAGTTTTTATTTCTTCAAAGTCCTTTTCTACCCCACTCTCCTAAAAGTATGCCTTTAAAGGCTTATAATTCCCTAAAGTTTTTTAGAGTTGTAGGTGAAAAATATAGAAGGTTAATGGCTCACCCACTAATTAATGAGGTTCAAACATGTATTTAGGCTCACACCACATGTCAATTATTTGCATTTTTGTATGACACAAAGTGGAGGAGGAACTTACATATAATGAGAATATCATTATCATTGCGGTGATCTTTAAGTCAATAACGACTGTCATGTAATAAAGTTAAAATACATGATAGTGTATGATTAGTCTGAGAAATTGACTCTACATATCACTAACAATGTGCATGATATTTTAAAGTCAATCACCCACTTAGGGGCGAATCCACCTTTGAGACAAGGTGGGTCAAATGACTCCTCCAAGTTCAAAAATCCTCCATGAAAGAGTTGGGTGTTGCCCTTTGAAAATTTGAGATGCCCTTGAAATATGTCCTCCAACTGCTTGACGAATTGCCTTTATGAGCACTAGGCAGGGTAGCTGTTAGCCTCATACCAATGTATGCTTTTCTATGGTCCCTTTCGATAGACGCACTTGGTATATGTTAGCATTTGTCGCCGTGCTCGCTTAAAAGCTATTGACATCAATCAATATGCTCGCTCGAAAGTTGTTGGTATTTGTTGACATGCATGCAATATGACTCGAAAAAATGACCCTAGGCCTATCACGACTCAATGAAATGCCAATTTGGTAACTATTTTGTCCAAAATATTTTGCGTGCTACTTGCGCTATTCTTACTGACCCTCCCAATAATATTTCTTAGATTTGCCACTGCTTGCAGTGTCATGTAATAAAGTTAAAATGCATGATATTGTATAATTAGTTTGAGAGACTGTTGTAGTGTCATTCTGTTGTATGGTATGACAACGTATGATTAACTTAAGATATTGTCACAGTGATAAATATATCGTGGTCGTATGTATGTGCATATATATATATATATGCAAGTGTCTCTTTCACAAAGTGCGCAAGGAAATCTTGTTCTTGCTGGGTTGCTGGTTGGTCAAGAAACTTAATTAAGTGATCATTGGCACAAATTAAACCATCTTTTAAATTAAATGGAGTTTCAGAAAAGATGCCACTTTATTTTGCACCAATATGGAGCAAATGGCACTATACTGGCTTCAATATTTTTCTGCTTAGGGGCATCGTGGCCTCAATTCACGATAATGATTAGCCCGTCTTAATCTTAAATATTTCAAAAAATCTGCAAACTCTGCCATTACCTTTTTTAAGCATGAATCCTCTTATGTCACTGAGTGCATGTCATCTATCTAGTGGCCTTGTTAGCTATTGGAGTGATTAGAAAGTAGATTAAGGACTAATTCTTTTGTTAAAGTTAGATGTTCCTTCGAGATTAATTAGCATCATGAACGTTCCTTAATTGTGATGTTAAACTTAATGTGGGTTAGAATCTCTCTAATTTAATGTTTAAAACTTGACAAAAAACCAAGAGTGAAAACCACGCACTAATGAAATGGAGACAAAACACACTGCTTGTGTAAGCTGATTGCTAATGTCAATGTAAACAACACAAGGATGTTTTGTCCTTATCTTATTGCATCATGAGTTATTTAATACTAGTGAAAGAAGAGATTTTTCAAGATGACTGAAACATGGAGCGTTACGCTACGTTATACAATTGGAGAAAAGTTTTTTTTTTTGTTTTTTTCAAATGCCCCTCTAATTGTATAATGAGATGTGGTGTATTGCCCCGTGTTCCAATCACAATGAAAATCTCTGTATATTAAAGGGTTACAGGACATTCTTACATGTAACTAGGGATACATGTTCAAGTTTCTATTCATTTGTTACATGATCAAGTCATGTGACAAGTGAAATAGCAACTTAGGTAATATATGATATGAATATAGAGATATATTTTTTTACTACACTCAAGTTTTTTTCTCAAAAGTCGATGCTAATTAACCAAGACTGATTTTTTTGGGTGTATTTTTGTTCATCACCCTCAAATGATAGTAATGCTCACCAACCTACTTATTATCATTGAATGAATTTAAATTTTGAGATTTATGTCTGTCCACTACACAGATCTTAATATTTAAACTATCAAACGGTTATAAACAGAGTATTAAGTATTACCAACACTTGAAGGTGGTGAGCAAAAATATTTCCGATTTTTGGATCTCACAATCTGCCCATTCATGCATTTTCCTAAAATATTAAGTGAAACTTTACCCTAAGTACTTAAAGGTACTTTAATTATATGAATTATTTGCTGAGCAATGACATTAAACAATTCAATTAACAAAAGGAGTTTTCCAAATGCTTCCACTTTCATCGAAAGGATTTGGATAATGTGTAACCAGACGGGTGTCAAGAACATGCATGCTTTACAAACACTGGTTGGAAGAATTAAAAGGTCAAATACTGTGAGTTTGGTACCAAACGGATTTCAGTTGTCTTCAAGTTCAGATGGTCTTGGTTTTTTTGTCCAACCACTACAAAATATCCTTCAAACAACTTTTCATCTTTGTCTCTCAAATGCATTCCACGTGCCCTCAAACCCTTGTTTTCTTTATCCAACATGCATCAACTTCAAATATTTTTTTACCAAAAAATTAAAAACATGAACTCCAATTTGTTCGATCACCTTCCTCTCAAGTGTACAAGGATAAATAATCTATTTTTTGCACAACAAAAAGGGCGGCTTTGCCTTTTCTTTTCTTGCCTTTCGGCTTTGAGTCTTGACACAAAATGCAATATTGTAAAGGATCTTAGGTGACTAGTAAAAAAGCAGTCCTTGCACATAAAATAATCTA